GTTGCAGTTACTCCGGAGTCCGGACCCGACCAGGCCGGGCCCAAGGGAGCAACGTTTGGCATTCTCTGTTCATTTAAATTTTTCACAGTCTATGAAATATAATAAGTTTGCGACATGTGCATCATCACAATGTTCTCTTCGGGGCAAACGAAACTTTAATTAAAAAACACCAAAAATATCTTGTTTTTTTTTGGAACTACTCCTCGGGGGATTCTGGGTAAAAGGGTTGTCTACAATGTTTGCTCAACCCATGAAAATAGATCACGAGATGTGGATGCAGGCAGTAGTTCCACTTAGCCACCTACGCGGAGTCTGCCAGCTCCGAATGTGTTAACGGTAAACTCGCTGGGTGCGTTTATGCGTTTCGTTTCGCGCGCACATCTCGAAATTCAAATGGGCCGTAACGGCAGAACAGCAGACCAACACGGGAAAAGCTGAAGAGAGAGTGTTGTGTAGTTGTTGATGCTTCACCCCTACGGATGAAGAGACAGTGCGTTTCGGCAGTGCAAAGCAAATGACTGCGAAGAAAACTGATAATCACTATGATTTATAGTACATTTTGTGGATCTATGGAACAGAGTCCAGAAATGATCAAATAAGCTACTTGCTTAACATTTTCGCGACGCACTGTACACATGAGTGCGAAATGCAAAGGAAAATTCATAAAGCAGCGGATGTTTTTCTAAATGTTTAATGCTTTACTTTTATTTAAGTGTTTATGGAGAAATAACTAATGAAAAAAACTGCCTTGAATTGCATATTTTGCAGCACCGAACTGCACTCCGCTGCATCTGTCTCTCTCTCCCTCTCAGTGTCCCTTCCCTTGCGGTGAGTATTAATAAACATGAAGCGGGCTGGCTGGGCCGGCTCGGCTCGGGTTTGTGTGTTGTGTTAAAGCGCAACATGATTCGCTCGATTTAAAATGCATTTCCATGCCAATGGCAACGCGCCGAGTTGCCGCCCTTTGATTTATAAAACAGGCTGCTTGGCCGTTCCCGAATCCCCTCACATGCTGGAACTGGCGGCTGTTCGTTTACTTAATGTCAATGCAAATATTATTTGACGGGAATGCCGCCACATGAAGACACATGCAATTTCATTACTTTACAGCCAGGTTCTTATATTTCCACGCTTTAAATGCTCTTGCGAATGTTTGGTTACACATCAAAACTTAGTTAATTCTAACACAAAACAACGATCTGGGGCGTTGGAGTTCCAGGTATTGCGGGTTCAACTCTGCAAAATAGAGCTTATAATTAATTATTTCGCTATGACAAATCACACAATCAAAAGAGGGGAAATATAAGGCAACTACACTGCAAAACAAATGTGGTACGGGGCTGGTTTGCGGGTTTGCTGTTGTTTATTGGCTTAACTAGACTATGCTGAAGACGCTCTAATCGTCCTTCTTGGGCACGCTCAGGTCGTAGAAGAGCTTGGTCATGCCACCAATGCCAACCAGGGCCAGGGCCATGGTGATGCGGTACAGCACACTGTCGACAGCGGAGCCCTTGAGGAAGACGGGCTTGCCGTCCTTCTTCTGGAAGTGCTCCTGCACCTTGCGGATCTCGAAGTAGCCCTTCTCGACCTGCTCCTTGCCCACAGCGGTGGAGCGGCGGCTTGTGGTGGTGGCAAAGCTGCGGACAACGGCCTGCGGAAGGAAAATTTGCGGTTAGTTCATGAAGCTCCAGCGCCCTTACGTAATTGACCATGAAATATATTTTCCCACGGCCATAGAACAATGTTCCATGCACTCCAGCAATGTCAGTGGGCTGTTATAAGTCGCAAAATGTTACTCACTCTCGACAGGTTCAACATTTTGCTGGATATTTTTATATTTTTAGCTAAACGTGAGAAAAGTTTTTTTCGGGCGAAGATCCGGACTAATTATGACAGCTGTTTTGGAGAAATGCAGAGTGACCGTTTATGATAACTTTTCGACGACCCTGTCTAGGTCACACCCCTTGCATTTTTCTGTAATATTGTTAGTATTTGGAATAATTTTTGGTCACCCTCTTGTCTAATGCAACAGTCTAGTAAAGTGTAGAAATGCCATTTAGAGATTACTAATTCATCATCTGCATGGTTTTGCATAAAAATCTACGTTTTTTAAATGAAGCGGGCATGTAAAAAACATTTCCTCGTCAGGTGTCTCTGCAGCTAATTTCATAAATACGTAGTTAATATGTAGCAAATGTGTAGTTAGCGTGAAGTAACCATGAAAAATATTAATTTTTAAATTAACCTTTTCTGATTAATCCTTTCTTTATGACTAACCATATAAGAAAGAGTACTGAAAACTAGCGCATCTCTTAGGAAATTGATTAATTTATCGTCATAAATTAGTTGCTCAGTACTGATCGGCTCATCAAATTAGAAAACCGACTCAGAATATCAAATTCGAGGAGATGATATTGCTAAAGAATGCATTCGCGGAAAGCAGCACTGACGGCGTCGCTGTTGTTTTGCGAAATGGTTTTCCCTGCCTCCAGTACAACAAAATAATGTTTGATTCGAAGAAGCTGCATTATGTCTGTGGCTAAATATCTAAATCGAACAGTTGGGATGAGTGGCATAGAGGCTGTGTCAAGGACCTGCACCCTCAAACCCAGGGAGGCCGAACACAGCGCTATCCGTTTGTCCGCGGGCGAGAATTTCGTGGGACGCAGCAAGGAAACCGGCATTCGAGACTCGCGCTGCTCCAAGCAGCAGCTTCGACTGCACGTGGATCCCAAGAGTTGTGGCATTACCTTGAAGGTTCTGGGCATGAACCCGTGCGGCATCAACGGAGTGATGGTTATGCAGCACACGGAATGCCAGCTGAAACATGGGGATCTGGTGGAAATAGTCTACGGCCGGCATGGCTACGACGTGGTATTCAGCCCTCCACCTGTTGAGTCTACAGAGGAGACCCCAGAGGACAACGTTCCAGATGCAGTTGCATCTTCAGCCACTGAGGAGGAGAAATGGGCTTCAGTGGCCAAGGGAAAACTGGTTATCTACACCAGCGCTGGAGTCGTGGCGTCGTCTAAAATTGCCGGCTACGATATGGATGGAACCATTATAAAGACAAAGTCGGGCAATGTATTCCCCAAGACCACTGACGACTGGCAGATCATCTTCCCAGAGGTGCCACAGAAACTGAAGAACCTGCACAAGGATGGCTTCAAGATATGTTTCTTCACCAACCAGGCCGGCATTGCTAAGGGCAAGGTATCGCTGGATGACTTCAAGGTGAAGATAAAGCAAATAGTCAATAAGTTGGCTGTACCCATTCAAGTATTCATAGCGGTGGGCGGTGGCTACTACCGCAAGCCGCTGCCCGGCATGTGGGAGCATCTGCAGGCCGAAATGAACGACGGAGTGACCATACAGCTGGATCGTAGCTTCTTTGTGGGCGACGCCGCAGGCAGACCCGAAATGGGCAAGGGAGCGACCAAGCAGCGCAAGGATCACTCGCTGGCCGACCGACTCTTTGCCTCCAACATTGGACTCTCGTTCTACACCCCGGAAGTGCATTTCCTGGGCAAGCGATTGGAGCAGTGGAACAAGCCCGACTTTGATCCTACCTGCGTGCACGATCAGCTACCGCAGTTTGAGCCAAACGATGTCCAGTTCGATGAGGACACGTGCGAGATGATCATCATGGTTGGCCTGCCCGGTTCGGGGAAGAGTCACTTCTGTGCCGAGGTGCTGAAGACTCGCGGCTATGAAATTGTCAATGCAGACACTCTGGGTAGCACGCAGTCCTGCCTGAACAGCTGCAAGCGACTGCTGAGCTCTGGAAAATCGTGTGTGGTGGACAATACCAATGTGGATGCAGCCTCCCGCAAGAAGTTCCTGGCCCTGGCTGAAGAACTGAAGATCCCCTGTCGCTGTTTTGTGATGAACGTGTCCACGGCTCAGGTGAAGCACAACATTGCCTATCGCGAGCTCTTGGAGACGCCACACTCGCAAATCAGCGACATGGTCTTCAACATGATGAAGAAGAAGTACAAGGACCCAGAGCTCGACGAAGGTTTCGCCACCATACACAGGGTGAATTTCGTGCCGCAGTTTGCCGACGAGAAGGAAAAGAGGCTGTACAAGTTGTTTTTGGTGGAGAAGTAAAACGATTCCGCTTTAATCCAATGTGAATATTCGCTTGGCAATGTCCCCAATGAGCCAGTCCATGGAGCTAAGCAGCTTCTCCCCAGTCACAGCGCTCACGCCAACCACCAGCCAGTGGTGGGTGGTGATGTCATCCAAATGTAGTATCTACAATTTAAGCCGCATAAAGTTAATAAATATTGTTAAATACTCATTATACTTCGCACCTCTTTGATTTCATTCGAGTTGAGTGCCCCGGGCAGATCCTGTTTGTTGCACAGCACCAGCAGTGTGGCTCCGGCCAGACGCTCCTCCTCGAGCAGCACTTCCAGCTCCTGCCGGCACGAGTCCAGCCGCATCCTATCAGCACTGTCCACCACCCACACCAGGCCATCTGTGCACTCAAAGTAGTTGCGCCAGTAGGATCGCAGGGAGCGCTGACCGCCCACATCCCACATGTTCAGGGTGTAGCCATTGTGCTCCAGGGTCTTGATGTTGAAGCCCAGAGTGGGCGAGATTGTGTCTATGGACTCGCCGTTGAAGCGCTTCAGAATGGTTGTCTTTCCGGCATTGTCCAAGCCGCTGCAAAGTGCAAAAACCAAAAACAATAAATCACAAAGTGGCGCAGAAAAAGTGCATTAAAACTCACAGTAGCAGAATGCGCATCTCCTTCTCCTTCTGTCGCATCTTTTTTAATACTGTGAGGAAGCCCATGGTGACTCCTGTGAAATTCAATTAATGGTTTAGAACCTATAAATTAACAATAAAATCAGCAGCTGCTCTAATTTATGTTTTTTGTTTGAAATTATCGATTATCCAGGGCTGGCATATGACAGTGTAGTCGAAGTCAACCCTGTGGAATGCCTTTGCCGCTTTTATTTAAATTTTAAAATCAAATTCATGGATAAAGTATGCTGTTATTTGCATACTTCACAGACGATCTCAAATTTTATCAGCTTGCTCTCAGAAGCAAACAATATCTCATTCGAACAAGTCTAAAAAAAAATTAGTTCAACAAAATGCAAAGAAATTTGTTAACTTCCTTGCGCGTAAGTAAATTTAAAATAAAATATAATTTAAATTACTTAGATAATATTTTTATTCTTGACAGCCGTTGTTCCGGTGCTCCCAAGTTTTGACTCCTCTCTCTGCATCCCCTCGGCTTTTCCAAACTTCTTCGCTGCTGCAGGCTCAGAAGAAAAGCGGCAAGCTGTCGCCGAAGATAGCAAAGTTGCAGAGGAAATATCAGGAGAACAATGGAAAGCCGGTGTTCCTTAAGGGCGGTCCCATGGACGTTATATTGTATAGACTGACTTGGGTACTGGCCATCATTGGCATCCTGGGCGATGTCTGGCTGTGGCTTGGCTACATAATATATAATTAAGTTAGCCACATACATACACATTACACATACAGATACAATACACATTAGCACACTTAAAATGTGACACAAAATCAAACAAAAGTACGTTTCCTGCACAACTTCTAAGACATCTTCCCCGGCTAGAATAAACTAATTTGATTTCGACTACAAATATTTGCCTCCTTAGCTACTTATCGATAGGCTTGCAGATAGTTGTGGTGGCGCCAGTGAGAAATATAGCATGTATATGTAGAATGTCGAATTGACAGTCGAGTAATTTTTAATCTGGAAAACTGAAATTTTTCCGAAAACTTACTAAGAGGGCTCTCCTACCTTTAGGAAAACTCCTCACTAGGTTAGGAAAACTCTAGAAAACCATTTCCTTAGCGTGCATGCATGTTTGTTTATGTCTCTTCCTTCCTTCCGCTCCATTGCCCCCAAGTCTTCATTGGCTGTGCCATGGCCAACCAACTCGCGGACTCTTAAGACCTCTCGTCAGCCACACTACTAGACAGCAAAAACCTAATTAACTCATTTAGACCCCCTCTCGTTAAAACATTTATTTTTTCTGCTTTGCCACTTTACGCATTTGCCAAACGAGAAAGAAGAAACGTCGAAAAATAAACACAATAGTCGGAGGGGGCTGCTCCATGGCCAGAAAGAAGATGAGACCTGGCTGGCCATGCAAAATCGTGGCATAATTACTGTGGCCAAATGAGCAGGCCCCACGGGCTGCGTAGTGGTGGTGCCACCGACTTCGATGTTCCCCCCGCTGGCTGCACATTTGAACTTTTACTTTTGGCCCGACTCTCGTTGGGCGCCTTGAGAATGATTGGGAAGGGGGAATCTAAGTGGCGCGTGCATCACAGCTGGCCAGTGTCTGCGTGGTGTTGCACAAGGCAAGGCATCCGCCATGGAACAGCTGAGGAGCTTTGCGTAAGCTGAGCCAACCATTTGGTTAGCACCCTGCCGAAAGGCTAAAGTTGGCAGCTCGCAGAACTGCAGCGGCAGCCATCCTGCCATCCCGCACCCATGTTTGGACATGTTTCGCTTTTTAGGCGGAAAACAAACTCAGACGCAGACACAGACGCAGACACAGACACTGGCAGCGTCATCGACACCCAACCAAACCGAACCACCGACCGACGACCGGTCACCAGCGGTTCGACTGACTCCAGCAGACTCCAGGCGCAAAAAAAAACGTGTCGCGGCAATTTCCCATTCAACTGCAGCTTTTCTTCCATGTTGCATCTTTTCTTGTGTCTGTCTCGTTTCGGTTTTTGCCTAGTTTTCGGTTCGCATTGCATTGCATATGCATTGCAATTTCTCCGCCGCCGCCACTGCCGCCACCGTCTACTCATCTGCCCGCATGCCGCTGGATGGCTGGTTGTTCGGTCTCGGTCTCCGCGCTTGACTTACATAAAGCTAGGAGCCCACGCTGCCGTTGGACACTCACCAAAACTTGTTTTGTCTTTTTCGAGGAAACGACAGAAGCGTCACTTGGCCTGGCCCATGAGGAGTAGGGAGGAGGGTGATGCTGCTGGTGCTGCTGGAGAGGTGGCCCATAGGAGACGTTGCCTCTGATGATCATCAGCTTTGGCTCAGCTGTGGCCTGTGGCTGTGACTGTGTCTGCGGATGACGATGAGGTTGTTGCTTTGGCTATTGCTTTGGCTACTGCCATTGCCTCGCAGTGGTCTCTTCTGCGTTGGCGCCTTATGTAACTTGCATGTGTGAGAGCGGGCAGCCTATGGACCGGGGGTACCAAACATTTTGTCCACTCATCTTCATCAGCAGCCAGCAATTACACTTTTGTCATACTCGCCGATTTCTCCCTGTCATCAATAGGCTTGAATAATCAGTTTCCAAAGCTCCTCCGCATGCACATCTATCCATGAAAAATGGCCCCCACTTTAACATTATTCATGTGCAGGGGGAATCTCTTTTTTGTGCACAGCTGGGCACAGGTTTCGCTGTCGATTAGCATGTTCAAATGGACAACGATGCAGCGGCCTGCCACCTGAAGATATCAGAAATTGGACAAAAAAGAAGGCTGGCTGATTGGAGGCGTCTCTAATGTTGCGCATACGCATGCATCGTCATGAGGAGATGGAAACCAAGGATAATCCACACACATAATCAAAATCCAAGCCAAATCTAATCATCAATTGTTGATGGCATTATAACGCCCAAATTCGCAATCGTTCGATTTTGGTTTGTAAATTTTGTGCGCGTCTGCCTGGAATAAGTCTTTTGGCAGGTTTTGTGTTTATTTTGCTACTACTCTCTGGCCCAATTATAGTGTCATAACAATTACGCACGCATAATGGGTTTCGGTGTGAGCCAAAAAGCTGGGAAAACAGAAAATAGCAACCATCGCCAGAGCCAAATCATTGTCTGCCGCTTTCTGACCTAGTAGGCGACGTGTTAATGATGGTTTTGTTCAGATATGCCTTTGACTACAATAAAGAGGTTGAGGTTCATTAAAGTTGCAAAAAAACGCGAATAAAAATAGACACAGAAGCCAATCGAATGATGCGCACAATTTCGCTAATGGTTCAGTTTGAATATCTGTGGTCCAGGAATGATGGGAAAGTATCCCTGAACCTGTCTTTGATGGCGACCTTACTACTGTTACTCCAATTACATGAACCGACAAAAAGTAAGTGAATTACGAAATCAGCTGGGAGGAGGGAGAAGAGAGACCTTCATCTTCACCACAATAAACCAAATGAACGGCTCGAATGACAGTACCGGACAGTGGCAGACAGCCGCAGTGCCACACAGCTGATCAAAACAGACCAAGACACGAAAATGATTTACCGACTGTGCCGTGCCATGTCTGTGTCTGTTGTTGCTGCTGCTGCTGTTGAGTGTTAAGTGTTGACTTTCATCTCGATGTTGCCCCCAACTCAAATTGCAGATCGCTCACCGACCACGCAACCGTGGCACGTTGCAAAGTCCTTCACTTTGGATCATGAAATGTTCGCTTCAATGAGCCAACTCGCGCCCTTAGCCACAGCTCTGCGCTGGTAGATAAACTTCTTTATTTACTCGAATTAACTGCCAGTTGTATTTAGTTTCATTTTTATTTCACATTTATTAATTTCGGAGTGTGGAGGCAGGTGCATCTGCTGACATAATGAGCACAGCTGCATGGTAACTTCTTTCACTTCGGTGCAAGAATTCACAGATTTCTGGTTTCATTTGGAGGTCAGCTCTCGGTTTCATAATCATTCGCTTCACTCTCTTCTCTGACTCATTTGCGCCCTGCCCCCGTACGAGCTTCGAGCGTGAATTCGCATTTGTTTGAGGTCTTTAAACTTATTTTCGTAGCAGCTTTGTCTTCTCACACTGGCTGCCACTGCTCTCCACTCTGTGTGTAAACTCCTTGGGAAACATTAATTATATGCCCAGTGCCGTCGCGTCGTGCCAGAGCCCTACTGCTCTGCTCCACTTGGAGATTATACTCGTGTGTATTATGGCCATCTTCTCTTTCTTTCTTTGCAAGTGGTTCCCAGACCATTTCGTAATCGCTGATGTTGATGTATTGTTGTATGATGCACATGCATCACGTGGATGGTACTTTTACACCCCCATCTCTAGGGAGCTGCAAGACAATTGCATTTGTAATTGGAATTTGCCATTGGGCAACGGGAAATCTGAAAACTGAAATGTGGTTTCGTCATGGGAGTCAAAGGAGCGGCGCCGTCCTTCAATGGCAAAAATAATTTAACCATTATGGGGATGGCATGGGTCCTGCTGTCTGTCAGGTTTACCATTTACCCTACAGATCAATCGCGATGGGAAGAAAAATCACTTCCTGGTCCCGGGGGCTGTGTCGCAAGTCGCAACCCGATGTCTCGACGATGTCTCGAAGATGTCGGCCGGGCAAAACGAATCGCAGGAAAAGTGCCAAGGAAAATTTCAAATACCAAAATCGTTAGCGACATTTTATTTTATTTTATTTTTGCTATTTCTTTTTGGTTTGTCAGCCATTTGGAAATTTTGTTTTATTGTGAGAAAGAAGCAGAAAAACAAATGCATCGGGGCACTGGAGACTGAAGACTATGAAGATGGAGTTGGAGTTGAAGTTGGTGTTGGAGTTGGCGCCGTCTTCTGCCCGAAACGAGTTGATGATGAAGGTACCCCCCACGACTGTGTGTGTGTGTGTGTGTGTGTGTGTGTCGGCGATAATGATGTTGCCGAAGATAGCCGAAACGAAGAGCACGACGACGACCACGACGATGGGTATAAAGAGGGCCCGTCCGGGCGTTCGAGATGCATTCAGTCGCTGGTTTCCCACTCGAAAGCAACTAAATTTACTTTATCATTTTACTTCACTCTCTACTCTCCCCCACAACACACACACACAACTCGTGGCTATGAACTCCTTCTCAGTGGTAAGTAGGACCAAAGGACGACAGTCACTGGCAGACCCATCAAGCGGATCAATTGGATTATCATTACCATTACCATTACCATTGCCTTTGCAGTTCTTAGTGTTCGCCCTGGCTGCCCTGGCCGCTGCGGAGCCCCCCTCGGGCTACAACTATCCCCGTGGTGGTGGCGGAGGAGGCGGCGGCGGCGGCGGATACAGCGGTGGCGGCTCCTCGTTCGGCGGCGGTGGTGGCGGCGGCGGTGGCTTCCAGGCCGTCAGCGGCGGCTTCCAGACATCCGAGGGCCAGAATGTCGATCCCCAGCTGTTGGAGCAGATTCGTCAGATCCTCCTGAACGAGGAGGGCAAACAGGGAGGCGGCGGTGGTGGCGGCGGCGGCGGTGGAGGCGGCGGCGGTGGCTACCCAAGCGGCCCCTCAAGCTCGTACGGCGCTCCTCCCTCGAGCAGCTACGGCGCGCCCATTGGAGGCGGCGGCGGTGGCCGTGTGGTCGGCATCGATCTTGAGGGAGTTCGTCAGGCCATCCAGGTTGCTCAGTTCAACCAGCAGAGCACCCAGGCGGGAGGCGGTGGTGGCGGCGGCGGCGGTGGCTACCCCAGCGGCCCATCCGGCTCGTACGGCGCTCCCTCGAGGCCCAGCGGCAGCTACGGCTCGCCCTTCTAAATCCAGACTCGAGACTCACATCCCAAAATCAAATTGCGCTGCCAAAAATGAACACCGACGAAATGGACGCCACTCAACCGACTACGACGACGACGATACCGATACGGAAACCGCAACCGCAACCGCAACCAATCCCGAGACAAAACACCAGCACCAGCATGAACAGCAATTGGAATCTACAGGATACACATGTGGGTATATCCTTGAACCTGGAACACATAGTTCGACTAGTGATGTGGATGATCCCGATCCCGATCCCAACCTCAGCGACTGTAATTCTATAGCCCTGTCTATCCCAACCCTAAATGAAACTTCGACTCGAATTGGGTGGGGAATTACCAGTTCCCCAACCAAAATGAACTCGTTTTCACCTTTCTTTTTTGGAACCTTTGTACATAGTTTTCTCACTACATACACCCCAAAAACAAAGCACACACAAAACTCAAGAAAAAAGAGATGAAAACGAAGGCCACACACATACAGGCCACATGAATGGAAACACCATCAACACCCCAGACAGTGTTATAACGCATTATTAGCTCGTAAGTGTTTTTATTTTATATGAAACAAACAAAGAAACAACAAAAAAAAAATATGAAAATAATAAAAAAAATAGTAAATTTTGTCACCGTTAAAATTTTGATGATCTTTTTACTCGTTTGGGGGTTTTATTAAAAGGAAGTGATGCCTAGAAAGAGAAGTCTTAAACCTCAACAGGTTCTCCTTAAATCAGCAACAAAATTTGTGCATAGTTCTGCTCATTTCCCATTGTACTTGCAGCTTTGAAACTCACGAAGATGTCATTATAACAAATCTAATATTACAAATCTATACGCGCAATCTTTGTAGTCCAAATCCAATTAAACTTGTTTTTGTGGTAACATCGATTGGGGTCCAAATATCAAATCGAATTGTCACTGGCCGTGACGTGAAATACCAACAAGCATCTTCAGAAATCCTTTCACTTTTTCAATTCGACAGCCGACCCTCCTCCTCCGTGCCGCACTTGTGGATCACGCTCATCAGCGTGCAAGTGCTCGACGTGTGTAGATGGGGCTCAGATGGGGCTTCGCTCATTACGCCAAGATTGCGACAGATGCAGTCGAGAGACTGGGTCAAAATGCAGCCAGGAGGAGGTGCCAGAGGGAAATGGGGGAATGTGGATGCTGATTGGATGGGGTCGTCGACGGACATCAACTATTACCTGCCAAAAGTAAAGTTGGAGTCTGAAGCTGCAGCCACTTTACCCACATTTAACATCATTAACATTTCCATTTCCCAATTGAATGCGTGCCGCGGTGGCCAGGCCAGACCAGGCCAGGCCAGACCATTCCATCTATGGCCATCTCTTGCCGCTTGGCTCTGTTAAGTGCAGGCAGACGAGTAGCAGCAGCAAATGAAGTGTGCAGCAGATGCCACAACTAGCTGCAACTAAGCTTAGCAACTGCAACTGCGACTACCAACTGTGCGACTGTTGTGGAATGCAAAGATTACGGCATAAGAGGCACAGACACAGACACAGGCAGAAACAAATTACAGAGTGTCTAACTAAATGATTATGACGTTTGCAGCGCCACACAGAAAATTGTTATAAAGAAAATTATACAATAGATGTACAAGTGGGTTTATAAATATAATAGATAAATAGATCTTAATTAAACTTGTATTGTTGTCTGGATTTATTCATTCACATATGCCTTGGCTGCGAATTTAACTTAAGATTGGATAGCTGCAGCCATCATCAAAGATATCAGCAACAAGCACGCGTATCTATTATTTAACATTGACATTACCACGATCCAAATCCGATATAATATAGAATTTATGTCTCTTTTTTATAGCCTTGATAAGCAACAACACTGGAGAACCCAAAAACCCAGAGACATAGTGGTTTCAAAGAGGTAACAATTACCATAAGGAACTCGGTTGTTGAGCTGCAAGAGGAAGACACTTTTCGACTTTATTATGAAGAAACAAAAGCAGGAAAAAGGCAGGAGATACTCTTATCTGAATGAAGGAAATAATAGGTGGCTCTATAAAATGGTAATCTGATGATGACTGGCAGCTTCTACGTCTCCCCTGGTTGGCTATACATTCGGACAGTGTTGGAATGACAGTGAAAACAATGAATGAGTTGGCTGCTCGCGGCTGCTGCCATAATCTCAGATAATCCGGAGTCTGCCATGTCAGGGTCTTGCCTCGCGCCTGGCAAAGACACAGATAGAGAGAGAGAGAGCGGCAGATAGGCAAGAAAGAGCATTGACAAGCGGGGTCCTAAGATCAGCGTAGAATATCTCCATAATCTAAGATAAGACCCAGAGTTGTCGTAAGAGAGCCGAGCCGTCAATAGATAATGCTTATTTTGAACTGGCATTTTCTTTGAGATAAAACCCTCATCGGGCGAAAAGTTTATATAAAGATTGGGAGTGGAACGTGATGCGCTCAAACGCGAATATTCGCCGGAGTCGGAAAGTGCATTACAATCTATTCGAGATTCCTGTCCGTGCATCCCTGAGCATATCCTTTGAAGATGTCCAATCTGTTGAATGCCACGATCCCGGCAGCCGCTGCGGTCGCAGTCGACTCTCAGTTTGTGTTTAATTCAACGGATTACGTGGTCTTCTCCCTGATGTTGAGCATATCCGCGGCCATTGGCGTGTACTTTGGATTCTTCGCCAAGGGCGAGGACACCACCGAGGAGTATCTGATGGGTGGCAAGCGCATGAAGACCATACCCATTGCCATTTCTCTGGTGGCCAGCCAGCTCTCGGCCATTTCCATAATGACCATTCCGGGTGAGATGTACGGCTATGGCATTAATTGGTTCTTCAATGTCCTCTGCATGGTGTTGGTGGTGCCGCTGCTCAACTACGTCATCATTCCCGTCTTTTACAACAACAACATCACCAATTGTTACGAGGTGAGTGCTCTGCTATGGATAGTTGGATATACTCAGTTTTTTAATCATTTGTTTCCGCAGTATCTGGAGTTGCGTTTCGACAAGAAGGTGCGCGTGCTGCAGACATTCCTCTTCATCTCGACCATGTTCTTCATGCTGCCCATCTTCATATTTCTGCCATCGTTGGCCTTCTCCCAGGGTAAGTTACTAATCCAAAATTTACTTCAAACAGCCATCCGCATAATGTTATATTCCTCACAGTGACTGGCTACAATGTGCACATCATCAATGCCATCGTCTGTGGCATCTGCGTTTTCTACACGATGTTTGTAAGTAGCCACTAGACACCTCCTTTTGGATCTCCATTTACATTTTCTCATTTTTCCCCAGGGTGGCATCAAAGCTGTGGTCTGGACAGATGTTATCCAAGCAGCCATTATGGTGGTCTCCGTGGTGTTGGTTGGCACCATGGGCGCCCATCGCGTGGGTGGCTTCGCCGAAGTCTTTCGCATTGCCGGCGAGGGTGGACGTCTGGATGTCAAGTAGGTTCCGCAGAAAGAATTTACCCAAACACTCGTCCTAATTCCCTTAGTCGCTTTGCAGCTTCAACTTGGACTTGTCCACACGATCCACCATCTGGAATGTCTTCTCCTCGGCCACACTCATGTGGGCTGGCTATGTGGGTCTCAACCAGAGCTGCGTGCAGCGCATCGTCTCCCTGCCCTCGCTGAAGCACGCCCGAAGGTCTCTGTGGATCTTTGGCCTCGGCTTTATGGTCATCATGTTCTTCAATTGCTTCACGGGCATCGTGATCTACTCCCGCTTCCACGACTGTGATCCCATTCAGTCGGGCCACGTCTCCAAAGTGGACAAAATGGTGCCGTACTTCGTGCAGGACACTGTCGGCCATCTGCGCGGCATGCCCGGCGTGTTCATCTCCTGCGTGTTTAGTGCCGCTCTCAGCACACTCTCGGCCAGCATTAATTCTCTGGGAGGAGTCGTCTACTTCGATTACATTAAGCCTTGCATCCGGCACACGGAGCACAGGGCGAACGTGATCATGAAGCTGTTTGTGTTATTCTGCGGCGTCTACTGCGTCCTCGGTGGCGTCGCTGTGGAGAAGTTCAACTCCATTCTGCAGGTGCTCTACTCGGTCGGTGGCGTTAGTTTTGGTGCCACGTGTGGCGTCTTTATACTGGGCATGCTAGTGCCACGTGCGCATGGCAGGGTGAGTTTCGGAAAGGTAGGGGACTTGGGAGCTAAAACTAATTGAATCTCTCTTTTAGGCTGCCATCATTGGAGTTCTCTCGAGCATTGCCTGCATGGCCACCATTGTGATCTTTAGCTGGGGACGCAACCACTACGACACTTTGCCCACACGCATCGACAACTGTCCGGCGGTGGCCCTGAATGGAACCACAACCACCACAACAAGTACATTCTCCCCGCTCATCCAGACAGCCCACAACCAAACCGAAGAAGGTTTCAGTATCCTGGATCTGTCCTTCAACTGGTACGTGGTGGTGGGCTTTATCATCACATGGCTGGTGGCTGTGCCACTCAGCTACATCCTCAAGCAGCGGGCCGATTTCAAGCTGGATCCCAAGCTCCTGTCGCCGGTGGTGCAGCCTTTCGTCTCCTACGAACTGGCGCAGGCGGACGAGCTGCACGAGCTGAAGACCGAGAAGCCCGAGAAGGCCTGATGGGAGGGCCATTAACCATTAGATATGCTTAGGTTAGGCATCGTAAAGATATATTGTATGTAAGATAGGAGCCAGTTGATACGAGTGCTGTGCACATTTAGTGGACTCCAGTGCGATCCCATTCTATCTAGATCGGATCTGTCTGCAGAAGAACATCAAGAATTGCTTATCTGAATAAAAGGCTTTATCACTATTGTCTGTCGCTCTCTCTCTCTCTCTCTGTGACCACAGTCTTTGGACAGCGACAGATTCTAAATATAAAAGCAGAACAAACGCAAACCTCAACTGTGTGTAGAATTAGAGCAGCGCCGTACCATCTCAGGCGATGGATACTTTGGGTAAATATATCAGTCATTAATCCACAGAAGAACCTAGTCATAGCCGTAAATTGTGGAGCCTGCTGAAATGCTTATCGCTGGCAAACATCTAGTTTAGAATAGGCCAAGAGTGTTAAGATCTTTACACTAGACTTCCCGGAAAGGTACGACGGCGGCGTCATAACATTTTATACAAATTTGACAAATAAAAATAAATTAAAATGTTGAAATATGTTATTTAGATATTTTATTATGTTAGAAAGACTTAGTGCAAGAATTTTTCATCAGAATTATCTATCTTCTAGGAGATAAAAGTACTAGAAAACATGACTATAAAAAGAGCAAAAAAGGTGAACTTTTTCCTCTTTGAATTGGTTTTTACATAAGAGTTAATGAAATTATATGTCAATGAGATAAATTAAGAATAAATAAGACAAAAATAATAATAAACTATTAACCTTAAGTTAATAATATTAAGATAGAATTATATTAAAATGTGTTTCTATTGCGTTTTGGTGTCGGGGGACATTGTCACCTAATGACAAGTGCTCTAAAAATAAGCTCCTTGCTTGTAGCACTAGGAAATCCAATAAATAAACATTACAAGACATTACACACTACGTCGCCGCTTAAAAAACTACAGGCGTCTACGACGTTGCCGCCGCCGATAAATTAAACGGCGCAGCCTCCGAAGCCGTCAATTCTTGGCCTCCATGCCGCCGTCGAAGCTTACAGAATCGGCGTAAGCCTCCACTTTACATACCAGCTGTAGGGGTCGCATCGTACAACAACAGCCACCCCCACGCATCTCTGCCTAAATTGTGTAAATTATAGTACGAAGATAAAAAAATACACAGCTGAAACGGAAAGTTCTTGTGTGCCGAAGTTTGGGCAAGTTGAACAGATTGCATTTGTGGCTAATGATAATTATCAGATAATAAGATCATCATCATGATGCACTTGATATTCGAATGCAAATCTACTCTTAATCGTCTCTTAGTTTGCCTTCTTTTTAGTTTTCAAGTTTTTCATTGTATTTTCATTTTTATGGGGCGGTGGAGAAGCCAACAAGAGACGCAAGTGCACGGCAAGTGGCAGAGCAGAGCAGAGCAGAACACCGGCACAGATAACTAAACGGCACTAAGCTTCTGTTTGATTTACGGAGGAGGCTGTGGCCAAGTTCAGATAAGGAGTCCAACCGGTCGGCAGGCGGATTCATATTTAAGTGCGAATCAGGCCAGGGTGCTCTCAAGTGTGCGCGTAGCATCCAAGCATCCGAACACACTGCCAGGATGTCGAGCGCCACAGCAGATCTACGATTCGGCATCACGGACTTTGTGGTCTTCACCATCATGCTGAGCGCCTCAGCCGGCATTGGTGTGTACTTTGGCTTCTTCTCGAAGGCCAAGAACACCACAGAGGAGTATCTGCGCGGCGGCAAGAAGATGCAGACTCTTCCCATTGCCATCTCCCTCGTGGCCAGGTGCGTAACTCGGTGAACGGCGAACATTCGTTTTATCTTTACGATGCGGCAGTAAAAGAGACTTACGTCAATCGTCTCCTTACCTTGATATCAACTCAAACTAGAACTAGAACTTGTGTAGAGCCCAATGCCATTTCTTAATTGAGTAATCAAATGGCTTGCAATTCGTTTTCAGTCAGCTATCGGGCATTGCCATCATGTCCATTCCCGCCGAGAGCTACTCGTTTGGCTTCAATTACATCTTCGTGGTGCTGGCAATGGTGGCAGTCGTTCCCATTCTGATCTACATCATTGTGCCCGTGTTCTACGAGAATAATGTCTCCAACTGTTACGAGGTGAGCTAACCCAAGTCAGCATTGTCAACCTCTTCCTTGACTAATCCCATTCCAATTACTTTTAGTACCTGGAGATGAGATTCAATAAGCGCACGCGTCAGCTGGTCACCATGGCATTTGTGTTGAATTCCTTTCTCATGCTGCCCGTTTACATGTTCATTCCTTCGCTGGCCTTTTCCCAGGGTAAGTGGAAGCAGTCCCGCAAAGAGTAGACTAAAGTTAAAGCCATTTCCTTGCAGTGACTGGCATGAATATTCATCTGATCAACATTATGGTTTCCTCGATCTGCATCTTCTACACTATGTTGGGCGGCATCAAGGCGGTGGTGTGGACGGACGTGGTGCAGGGCGGCATTATGCTGCTCTCAGTGATTACTGTGGGTGTCCTGGGCACCCTCCGATCGGGTGGCCTATCCACTGTCCTGGAAAAAGCCACCGAAGGCGGCCGAATGGATTTAGAGTAAGGTTGTGGCTGAATTATACGCTGAATTTTCTGTACTTACTTTCGGTTCCAGCTTCAGACTTGATCCTCGCATTCGTTTGACCTTCTGGAGCGCCATGACTGGTGGAATATTCATGTGGACCGGCCACATTGGCTTCAATCAGAGCTGTGTGCAGCGCATCGTCTCCCTGCCCTCGTATTCCCATGCCAAACGGTGATAGCAGCTCCCATTTTATTCTCCACTCCTTGCTAACGTCTATTCCTGTGTAGATCTCTGATCATTGCGAGCGTGGGATTCATTCTTATCATGTCGTTCAACACATTTGCGGGAATCATAATGTTTGCCCGCTACTACGGCTGTGATCCCATTGTGGCTGGTGTAGGTTCCTTCCACCATAGATTCCATTATGAATACTTATCGCTGCACTCTCACAGCTCGTCAGCAAACCCGACAAGATGATGCCATTCTTTGTGCAGGACATTATGGGACACTTGGCCGGAATGCCGGGAGTGTTCATCTCCTGCGTCTTCAGTGCAGCCCTCAGCTCGCTCTCGGCCACACTCAACTCACTGGCGGGTGTCGTCTACTTTGATTACATAAAGCCACACATCCGGCACACGGATGCCCGTGCGAATGGCATCATGAAACTGGTGATCATCGCCATGGGCGGCTACTGCATCCTCGGCGGTTTCATTGTCCAGAACTTCAACTCGATTCTGCAGACTGTTGTGACCATCACCGGCGTGAATACTGGAGCTGTTGTGGGTGTCTTCCTGCTCGGAATGTTCGTGCCGCGCTGCAACAGCAAGGTGGCAGTGTCCAGCATTCTCATCAGTGTGGTGGCCATGGTGTGGATCATCATCAATGGCCAGATGAACTTCAAAGCGGGACTAATCAAGTACCAAGTGCTGCCCAACTCCCTGGACCAGTGCGAGGCGCAGGGGTTCCACATGATCTTGGATGCCATGTAAGTGTTTTCTGTGATCCCTGACCCCATTTCACTCTCAACATTCCTTCGCTTTCCTTTTCAGCAACCAAACTGCCATTAGTCCAGTCACACCCAAACATTCAGGTCCTCCGGCTCCAGTCACAACTGCCTTTGAGAGCAATCGGGACTTTTCGCTCTACGACATCTCCTTCTACTGGTACAAGGTCGTGGGTGCGCTGATTGTCTTCGTATGGGCAGTGCCCATGAGTTATGTCTGGCCACATGACCGCCACGAAAAGCAGAATCCAAAGCTATACTCTCCCTTTGTGCGAAAGTTCCTGAATCTCTCCGACTCCGAGCACGAAATGGAGGAAGTGCCACTGAGGAAAACGACTGTCAAGGAGATTCCCGAACTTCGAGTAGATGCAAAAGAAAAGGATAAGGAAGTTGGCCTTGAACATTGATTTTAGGAAAATATTTTAAAATAAAATACGATGAATTTAGTGCAATTAAATGTAATTTACTTTGTTTTAAACATAAGCAGTTTAATGTAAAAATGTATTAAAAATAAATTAAACTTCAATTAAACAATTTATTCTTGAAATTTCAACCTTTTGGGTCTCGAAATTACTGGCTTACACTTTTGAATCTAGAGGAAACGCAGCAGTAGCCGCGCCTCTACTTTTATTCCTGGTACTTAGAACTTGGAACTAGATAATTGGACTAGTCAATTCATGCTGCTCAAGGATGAGTACATTTCCTTTTTGAGTACAGGGACAGAGCCTTTAGTTACCTGAATTTTATTAGTAGAAAATATATAAAGACTTGCCTCAGCGTTATCATTTCCTCAGAATTTTCTGGTAGCGTACCCAAAAGTATGCATTAATTGTTCAGCTAAAATATCCTGGAGGTCAACTTAAGGTCTAACTTCAATTTTCATTATACATGTACATATACATATGAGATGCTATATTTGGCCATGAGCACTCTTCCACCCACAATAAATGCGTGCAACAACCCCAAGGTGGGTGCGCCTAGTTCACGTATTAGATTATCAGCTTGGGAATAACCATAAAGACAGACGGTGGTATCTCATCTTATCATCTCAGATATCATAGATATTTTAAGGGGAAAGGCTACTTAGTCATCGTGCTCGATCCCCATTGATGGATGCGGAAAATGAATGTACTTACAGCACACGAACAGGTACGGTACGTTTTAGGACTGCGGGCTGGTTATGGGAGGTTCATTCGGCTATCACCACTAGCAGCACCCCGTGTAAGGCAGATAAGGAGCACTTCTGATTTACGATGTCGGTGGTATTCGTAGATACGTTTACGGTTACCTTACCAGACAGTTATCGTGACGAGATAAGGAGCTCGCTGGAGATCGCTACTTAAGAAGGGAGTTGCTGATAATCTCCATAAGTGTGTTGGCAGCCTCCACAAAAAGAGTCACGGCTCCCCGGTGCTATCCCCAGTATTAAGTGTTAGCAAAGGATCAAGATCAAGGCTCCAGAATGGCCGCAAGTACTTCGGCGTTGGCCAGCACAGTCGCCACTGTGGCAGCAGCCACCGCAGAGAATTTGCGATTCAGCCTCACCGATTACATTGTCTTCACCCTCATGCTGAGTGCATCGGCGGGCATTGGAGTGTACTTTGGGTTCTTCTCGAAGGCCAAGAATACAACCGAAGAGTACCTGCAAGGCGGCAAGAAGATGCCCACATGGCCTGTGGCCATCTCCCTCGTCTCCAGGTGCGTCTCATCATCAACTTTACCGCTGAAGATTTTCCATGTCGTCACAGCCAAAGGTTCAGAGGAAGGTACTCGACAATTATATGGACCCATTAAGATAAGATCTGTTTACGATAGACGGATCTGTCTATTTATCTATTCATCTATCTAATCTGAAATGCGCATGGCGCCCCGTCCATCCATCAACTGGAAGATTAGATGAATTGCATTTTTCTATGGAATATTGTGAAATTAATCCAAATGGCGTTCGGGCCCCTCTTTTTGCCAATATAGGAGATCAAGACTAATGAATGATCTTTCTTTTACAGTCAACTCTCCGGCGTGGCTATGATGTCCATTCCTGCAGAGTCCTATACCTTTGGCTTTAACATTGTCTTCATCGTAATGGCCATGATCCTGACGGTGCCAGTTCTTATCTACATCATTGTGCCTGTGTTCTACGAGAACAATGTCTCCAACTGCTACCAGGTGAGTGTAGAATGTCCCCCACCTGTATACTTACTCCTCTGACAAGCATCATTTCTGTTTTCCCTGCAGTATCTGGAGATGAGATTCAACAAACTCACCCGCCAACTGGTGACAATTACGTTCATTATGAACCAATTTCTGATGTTGCCCGTCTACATGTTTGTGCCATCGCTGGCCTTTTCCCAAGGTATAATGGAAATAGATTTTAATCGGTCTACGATTGGCAGAGAAATTAAAATTGATTTTCATTTACAGTGACCGGCATCAACATTCACCTGATCAACACAGTCGTCTCCTCCGTTTGCGTCTTCTACACGATGCTGGGTGGCATCAAGGCTGTGGTGTGGACGGATGTCGTCCAGGCTGGCGTGATGCTGCTCTCCGTGGTTCTGGTGGCTATTCTGGGCACTTCGCACACCGGCGGACTGAGCAATGTCCTGGAGAATGCCTCCGAGGGTGGACGCCTTGACTTTAAGTGAGTATAAAAATACCTTCCACTCAGCGATGGGGTTCACTGTACCCATTCTTGTTTGTACAGCTTTGGGATGGATCCTCGCTTGCGTGTCACATTCTGGAGTGGAATATTCAGCGGTCTGCTGATGTGGACGGGAAAAGTGGGCCTCGATCAGAGCTGTGTACAGCGCATCGTCTCCCTGCCGTCGTATGCGCATGCAAAGAAGTAAGTGCCAATCGCCACAGGATGTATCAGCAATTCGTACAAATGTTTGAGTATTGCAGATCCCTGATCATTGCTGGTATTGGCTTTCTGTTCATCATGACCTTCACCTGCTTCATTGGCATCATAATGTTTGCCTACTACTTCGGATGCGATCCCATTCAAGCTGGGGTAGGGAAATGCTTTCCGGATCACAGCTAAATTCTATTTCCACTTTTTTCTTTCATCCCTCAGCTCGTGAGCAAACCGGACAAACTGATGCCATTCTTCATTCAGGACATCATGGGACATCTAATTGGCATGCCGGGCGTATTTATTTCTTGTGTGTTCAGCGCCTCCCTCAGCTCACTGTCTGCCAGTCTCAACTCCTTTGCCGGCGTCGTCTACTTTGATTACATCAAGCCACACATTCGGCACACGGATGCCCGTGCCAATGGCATCATGAAACTGGTGATCATCGTGATGGGTGCCTACTGCATCCTGGGCGGATACATGGTGCAGAACTTTAATTCCATCATCCAGACTATGTGGACGATAACGGGCATCAATACGGGCGCCGTGGTGGGGGTGTTCCTGCTCGGCATGTTCGTGCCTCGCTGCAGTGCCAAGGTGGCAGTCACGGGCATAGTCTTCAGTGTGGTGGGCATGTTGTGGATCATCATCAATGCCCAGTTTAACTTCAAGGCTGGCCTCATCCGCTACGATGTTCTGCCGAATGGCCTGGATCAGTGCGAGGCTCGCGATTTCCAAGTGATCTTGAGCTCCATGTAAGACAACCATTCATCACTCTTTGTTTGCCCTAAAGTAAGTCAATTCTTTTCTGCAGCAACAACAACATCACGAGGGTGTTGACCACACCGGCTCCCTTTCCGGATGCACCGCAACAGGTGACCACAGCCTTTGGCAGCAATCGGGACTTCTCCATCTACGACATCTCCTTCTATTGGTACAAGGTGCTGGGTGCCATTCTGGTGTTCGCCTGGGCCGTTCCCATGAGCTATGTGTGGCCCACGGACAAGCAGGAGAAACAGAATCCAAAGCTCTATTCGCCATTTGTACGCAACATGTTGAACGTGCCCGATCCTGTGGTAGAAATGGAGGAGATGCCACTGAAGTCATCCGACTCAAAGGCCAAAGAGAACGGCATACACCAAGATGCTTAAATAACACATGACTCGCAAGCACATCTGTACATATTATGTATTATATTATATTAATATTAATATTAATAATAATAATTAGAGAAACTTGCATTTTATACAGTAACTTCTTTGGTTTCCTTGGAGGAGGGAGACTCCTTGGGAGACCTACCTAGATAGAACGAAATATAACAAAATGAAACCCCAAAGTAAGCGTTGATTTGTCCATCAATGTTTGAAGCTTAGTATCTTAGTTATTTCCAGTTCCCAATCGACCAGTTAGTCGTTCTCCTTTCAAGTGTATTCGTCCATGGGTTGGTGTATAACCCTCGCCTTCCAACGTGAGTACCGATCTGGAACAGTCAGCCACCTGTCGCGCAGTGTCGGCACCCCGAGTGTCAGTCCACAACGATTATCGCTCCCGCTCTCCCTCCCAGGCTGTGAAGCGACGGCGTGTGTCGATGGCCCGTCACAACGATAAACGTGTCTTGCCGTGGAGTGTCGAAGACCCGTGCTCGTTCGCGCTCGCTTTCCGTCACTGAATCACTTAATCAGAATGGGGAGCTGATTGTCCAGAAAATTCTCGATCTCAACAACAGTGCCAGTTTGCAGGAGATAATGGCTTCCAGCTGACGCCTACAACACCGTATCCCACATCCTCCAAAAGGAGATTGTGTCGGTATATCTTGATAGGTTTTTTCTTTAATTTTTCTGGTTGTTTTATGCCAGATGTTAGAGTAAATGCATTCAAGGCGGCATGGGAAACTGCATTTACTCTTTAAATTAATGAAAGTGAATGTGAGAGGGAGCTCGAATGTATTTAACTTGGTTTATGAGCTCGCATGACACATGCGAGACTCGAATGAGAGGACGGGAGTTTTTCAATAGGTTTACAACGAGGAAATGAGATCTATTGGTCTACGTTAGGCAATAAGTTTATAGATGAGCAGCATGCACATAAATACAGATACAGAGCTCACCGCCGTCGATGGAATTGTTAACGATCTTTGGTTCCCCTGCAATATTAACAAATAAGTGTCCAAACTCATTGAACAAGTTGCATTTGCTCACCATTCAAATTAAGATTTGATTTGTTGAACACACTAATGGATTCCAATAATTCCAACTGTTCTCAATGGCGATTGCATCGAAAACACAGTTTCTGGATTTTGTTTGGAGTGCGGTTGCTGGTGGATTGTGTCAATAGAGTCCACCTCAATGTGCTCTGGTCAGGGCTCCCTGATGGGTCCAATTTGTCCGCCTTATCTGCCTCGACATGTGTCGGGCCGTGTCACTTCTTCTGGCATTTTTTCCACCACGAGCCCATCTTAGCTTGCTTTTTATCCGTAAGTTGATGTTGTGTCTAATCGGACACAGCTGGAAGCTTGGCAGCACCATCTGTGTTGGCCTCTGTTGCCTTTCCATCTGCAGACTCCTTTTCCCTTGCGGTGAGGAACTTGAAAAGGCTGAAACTGCCTTTAACTGGTTTCTATTCCTTCTTTACCTAACTCTTATCGATTTTGGCACTAGCCCAAATCGTTTTGTTAGGTTGTGTCTATAGTTGACAGAATTAATTCAATGACTAACCTCAGCTTTGTCTGACCGGCTTAACCACCATCTCCACTGCATCGGAACTCCGCAGAACTATCAGAGAATGTCGCTTTGGTGTACGTCAATGCAATAGTTAATGCAATTAGACTCCATGGACTTAAATTGTTATAAAGATGACTCGAAAATAATTTGCAAAGTGTAGACCAAATGTTTGTTATTGTTGATGGCAGTGTTGGCATCATTTTAGAGGAAAACATTAGCTGTTTCTGTGAAAAACATGCAGAAAATAGCTATCCTTTAGTAACAACAAATTTTGTATGTATGTAAATTTTAAATTCCTTTGATTTACATTATTTTGAATATGCCACCGAATTCTGTAACGAGCATACCGCTTCAGAAACACTAAGTTGCCATATTGCTGGCTACTGTAAAAAAAGCTAGCTCTAAGCTGGCTGAATTTGCCATCACTATTGCTGCCATCGACTGCACTCTCGATACTATGGTTTTTAAGCTTGCGATAGATCGATGGTTTCGTTTGAGTGAAAAACTTGGAGTTTCCAGTCTGGTACATTCATTAATTATTTAGGAAAACAAACCCTTCTAACCAGGAACCACCTGCTCTTCAAAAATGACTATCGCTTATATTTGGCACGATACTTTTTAGCAGCTTAGCCCTGGCTTCACACTCATCGTTTTCGAAAAAAATGTTCTATAGTGAATTTATGGACGCGGGATGATGCAACGTTAAAGCTCAGAAGCAGGTCGGAAAAAGGAATTTAAATATTAATTAGTAGAAAAAAGGCGCAAAAAGGCTCAAAACATACCATACTACCGTTTGCCAAGCAACAAGTTGTCAAATATTCCCACTTAGAGAACGTAAGCTTTTTATTTGGTTGACCCTTTCAGTTTAAACCTTATTTTGCAAGCAATCCAACAAAATGAATTCATAAAAACTAGCCAACCGTATGCAGAATTGATTCATTAATCTGATAAAATTATGGTTTTAGCACTAAGAATCTTAATTAGCTAGTAATATTATGCAAAATATCAAAATCGAGGAAAATGAAATAACGGTATATTTTTAAAATGAAAGGGGTATATTTTGGTATATTTCTGAGGGTCAAGCGGTTTATTTGATTAATAAGTCCGCGGTCACACTGGGCAGCCTTAGCGCGCGAAAAGTTAATATTTTTGCTTTTATTTATTTATTGCACACAATTTCGTATTCGTCTAAGCTACATTCGTCGGCCACACATACGTACATGCATAAGTACACATAAATAAAACTCGAGTTGCTACAACAAATGTACACATATTGCATATTGCTCAACAATATTGCAATCGGCATACTCTTTCTTTTACGATAATCACAGCATCTTTATAGACTTGAAACACTTCTATCATTAATTGGTCTAGACTTAGCTTACGGACTAAAGACTATATTTTCGGTAAGTACGAAGGGAGGGAGGATGGGATGACGACATGAGTGGGTGTGGGAGGGAGCACCAGGATCATTTCAGAGCGCCGATCTGGTCCCAGAGCCGAGCTGCCGGTACACGCCCGTCTCGCCGGGTGGCACAGTGTCCAGCTGCACCTTGCTGGTGTCACAGATCGACTGGTGCTCCACGCCCTGCCCGCTCTCCGAGCTGGTGAAGATTACCGCAATGGGGTTGCTCTTTCCATTCTCGCTGTGGTTGGTTGTCTCGTCCGGCGACGACTCGTAGGCATGATTGACCTTCTCCTCCTTGCACGTCGTTGTTGTGGCCGATGAGTCGCTGTTGTTGCGTCCATTCAGTCCGGACTCCTCCTCGTGCTTGACATAGTAAGGCTTGGGCCCGGAGAACCGCTCCCAGCACCGGAAGATGAGGGGATGCAGCAGTTTGCCATCGTACTTGTCGTCGGGGTGTTGTGTCAGCATGCTGATCAGCGTACCAATAACCACCGTCAGTGCCGTTCCAATCAGACTGTAGTACATGAAGCTGATCGAGTAGAACGTCTGGAGTGGCGTGCTGCAAATGAATTTGAATTAATTAATTATTTCTAATGAAAATTCGTTCTCTCTTCCAGCTCTTACCGCTCGGGCGCAATGCTGGGTGGCGTCTCCAGCAACATGGTCTGGTTGTAGCCATCGATGGGCGTGTGTGTCAGCAGCCAGGGCATTTGTTCCATCTCAAGGAGCGGCTTGGCAATGGACTGCGAGAAGCTGTGGTTAGAGCAGCCCTGCGGGGAACACAAAAATAATGTTTAGACTCTGATTTCTGTGTCGTTTTGTTTCAGGACTCACTTCTGTGGAGGTGGGCAGCATGGGATTGCTTTTGTCGATGGTCATGGAACCGACAATGATCCAGAGCACAAAGGAGCAGGCAGAGATCATGCCAGCCGAGGTGCCCTTCCAATTGGCTATCGGCACCAGCATGGCCAGCAAGAAGCAGCCGAGCAGCGGTCCAGAAGTGGCAGAAAAGACGAGCAGCGATGACTCGATGACACCCGCCAACAGGCCCACTCCAAAGGCCACGCACATAATGATCAGGCCACAGATGATGGCAATTAGCTTGAGAATCCTCAACTGCTGCTTGTCGGAGAGCCCCTTGAATCGGGGCAGCTGCGACACGAAGTCCTCCCAGCAAACTGTGGCCAGTGAATTCAAATTGGACACCATCATGCTGAAAGATCAGGCTGTTAGCATAATCAAGTCAATCGCCTTGAGGGTGGAACACTTACCACAAAGCTCCGTTGAACAGAGTGGCCATGAAGATGCCCACAAAGCCGGGCAGGAAGCCCAACTGATCCTCGACAAAGAAGGGAAGAATCTCATCGGGTTTTTTGATGTAACCCTCGGCATACGGATCGCAGTTGATGTACGTTGAATAGATGACCATGCCGGAGACCCAGGACAGTGCGAAAAAGAAGAACACCAGCGGAACATTGCTTAGCATCACGCTGCAAAGGCATGAAACGAATTATTAGATGTGCAACACGTGGAGGAGTTTGAAGTTGGGACTTACCGGCGCACTTGCTTGAGTGACTTCAAGCTTACATATCGCTGCATGAAGTTCTGCTGGCAGCCAATCTGCGAGAGGGACATGAACAGCTGACCCAGCCAGGCCGAAAGTGTATCCACGCGCACCGTCATATCGCCGGTGAAGTTCCAGAAGCTAAGGCGACCTGGAGGCATAGAAAGGAATGCGTAAAGGAGGAGCAAGAAGAAACAGCAGCATGTGGAGGGATTCCCAGGAGCCTGACGATTGCCACAACGACAGCCAACAACTCAAACTCAAGTGACAAACGCTCTCGCGTCACACATTTATTACTGTCGTCATGCGAGCCTCCCACTTCCCCCACAGATTTTCCTGCTCCCTGTGCTCCTGCCACACATGCCGCTGTTTTATGCCGCTTTTATCATCATCATTTATGTGCATAATGAGCCGACGCAGCAGCAGCAGCAACAGCAACCCAGAATAGATGCCATTTTAATAGTCATCATTCGTCAGCATAAATGTGGGACACACATCCAGCGCCATTTGACAGGCCTGGCTAATAAGCTGCCATGATCAATCGAAGCAGCAAACCCGAACCGCACCACACCGCTCCGCACCGCACCGTCTGATGGCTTACCATTGTCGCGATTTAGCTGGTAAACCTTCTTTGGGCCGCCAGTGGAGATGGTGCCCTGGATAACGACGGCCATTGTGACGACCAGAATGGTCAGGGTCTGGATGACATCCGCATTGATGGCCGCCTTCAGGCCTCCCTAATGAGGTGGACCAAGGAAAAGAAGAATTTGAATATCTGAATCATTAAATTGTGGACATTCCACTTACCAGAATGGTGAAGAATATGCAAATGATGCCCATGCCCACAATGCTGGCCCAGTATGGAATGCCAATGACCGTCGACAGGGCCACGCTCGGCGTGTACACGGTGATGCCCAGGTTGCAGATCTGTCGCACAATATACGTGGCCGAGGCCAGGCACCGCACGGTCCGGCTCTTGAATCTGCAAAGGGAAAAGACCAGAAGTGGAACAGGTGAGTGCAAGCATTAATTAGGAGCCGCTGTGGGTGCCTCTTGCACATTTATTTATTTTTATTAAAGATTTAATGTGGGACATTTTTCCTTCTCGCGTTACACTCCCCTTATTTGTTTCACCCCCAGGCCCTAGTCTTTTTTTTTATGATTTACTACAGCTGTAAAGAAGTTATGTTGGATCGGGTAAAGGCCTCGCTGAAATTTACGACATCGGAGGGCAAAAAGAACCCAAGAAAATTGGCGGGTCTGTAACTCGTTTTGATTGTTTTTATAGTTGTGCCGGGCGCCTTTTATGGCGCTGGTTGTAAAAATTTGTGTGTTAATTTGATGCAAAATGTGCGACAAGATGGGGCGGTCTCGCTTCAAGGGTCCGCCGCCTAATGCTCGTTTAGTATGCGTTATGTGGTCCCAATTGCCTCTGCACACGCACTGCGAATGGGTTTTGTTTTTTTTTTTACTAACTAAACTGGTTCATGTCCATAATCCTTTGATTGCAACTTTCAACTTGAAGCTACTCAAAATACTTCTAAGTGAGAGGCATGACATTTTACATTATTAAAAGTGGTTTAGATATCCTCAAATACATCCCCCTCGAATATTACTTATAGTTTGTAGTGTGAGACGGCAATCAATTTAATTGAAAAGCTTTCAAATTTTAGTTTAATTGTTTCATTTCTCTGAGATCCTAATCCCACTTGGAATCCACCAGGAACCTTCTGCAGTTAGGCTGCTGGTAATCACAGGTAATTTCTTGTCGTACATTTAAGCTGACTGCATAATCCACTTTCCCCTCAAACCTCTATCTCGCCTCTGCATTTGGCTTCGTGTTTGGATTGCCCACTAAATGATTAATTGCCTCTGGCCAATATTGATCTGGGCTGTGTTGGGCTGTCATCGGGCTCCGTCCCTGTCCCTGTCCCTGTCGCTGGCCCTGTCCCTGTCCTAACTGAATGCATAAACATGAGCGATTGGCGACGCAGGTGTTCGGCATGGGGATTAAATGCATATTTAGATGAATGACCTCCTTGGGCTGCATGGCCTGGGGAAGATATGCGACATTCAACTGATTTTATCTTTAATCGCCTTAATTTTGAAACTAGTGTAACACGTTGTTGCCACAGGGGCCGAAGAAGGGCTTTCCGTAATAATGTTGCACTTTTCCAATAACCAATCATCGATTGTATCG